ACACCGAAGGCTATCTTGAATTTCGTCAGAACAAAAATACTTCTTTTTTTATTTTTTTTCCTTGCGGTACTCAAACTTCTCGCTCGTCTCATGCATCCTAATGTCTCAGGGCCGGACGTGGTCAGAGTTTAAAGGATCAGCTCYTCTTGTTGACTGAATTAAAACAAAAGAGCAGCCTTGAGATGATTTATGAGTGCTTTGATAAAATAGCTCCAAAACTTGCATTGTTTGTGCTCAGAGTAAACACCATGGTCAAATTTAGCTTCTCATCTATTAGCCCATTCACAACACCATTTGTTACCAGGATAATGGGGCGTAAAGAGGGCTATTATTCTCTCAGTCCAGAACATATGCTGAAATCCTGCACAAATACGCCGAAACACACACACACCCAATGGCTTTTGACACACATAAATAACATGTGAGCGAGACCGTGTCATTGTGAAAATGAGAACACGCTCACACATAAAGGACGGCAGTGCATCATCACATGTTGTGCATGCTTCCTCTGCACGCTCTCCAGCAGGAGGATCATATCTTATACCCTCGTTTGATTYTAATTCAGACGCGTCAGCCTTGAACCTGACAAACTGCCGGACAGTCGACTTAGTATTCAGCGTAGTGGCAAGATGCTGATAATAAGATAATTGGCATTCTGCACTCTCTCTTGCCAGCAGACCTATAGATTTGTATCTATAGGTCAAAGACCTGATCAAAGTCCAGCAGATAATTTGCAATGCTAATCGCCCCCACCAACAAATAATCACACTTAAGAACTGTTTAAATGAATCCCTCTGAACGCCGCCATAATGTGCCTTTTGTGTTTTTAAGAGACGTAATAGCAGGGGGCTTTGCTGCGGAGAACGCACTGCCCTCTGTTATTAACTCATTTAGACCTCAACGCTTTGATTCACAGCCGCTGTCTGACCTTCCCTCTCAGAGAATATGGGCTGCACAACAAAACATCAGTCTAAAGCAGCAGCACACACAGAAATATTTACTATTGTACATTTTTAATGTCGTGTAGTGTTTAGGTAGAAAGAAAATAAATTGATGAAATTGTGGAAACTGAGACTATTAATCAGACAGGTGCTGAATATTGAAATATTCCTTTTAAAGCAATTATTTAGATCATTTGAAGTGGGCTTCTGTGGAAGGGTTATGAGCAGTTAATATCTTACCTGTTGTAGATCGCTCTTTGAACGATCTCAGCTTGGAGAATTAGTTTATTTCTGACTGGACTAATGAGCTAAGGAGCATTTTACAGAGCTGCAACTCAAACCAGTGAGCACTGTGGCTGTGTTTTGAGTGGCCAGCCTGTTTTAATGTCTTGCAAAACTGTATTCTATGGATTTTTTTATTTTATTTTATTTTTTTGCATACCTCTTACAGCATCATACCACCTTGGTCTACTTATGTGATTTGAATGTACTTGAAAAAGGCAGATTTGGACAAGTTTAAAATAATAATTGTCATCAATGGGACCTTAAGACCTAAAAATTTAGGAASTGTAGTCTCAGATGTTTTCTGTCATACCAATGCTCAGTAAAGAAGTTAAAATAGAGCTCTAACTTTGTAAATTTAGCAAAAACTAAATTAAAAACCATTCAAAATGCCTTCTGAGAGAAAATGTATTGCACATTTTTTAGCATGTCCAAAATTTAAGACTGCGAGCCTCTAAATCTGAGGTGAGGAAATTAGGAAGTGGAATATTTCCTGAAATTTTGGAGACTCTTACTAATTTATTTCACCAACAAATTTGAGAAGTCACTGATGGAAGGCATTTTGTGTTGTAAAGCTCACCTCAATGTGGGCGGGATCATAATATTAAACATGCGTGATTTTATTTTGCTTTTTTTGTGACAAAACAATAGGGGACTACACCAAACTTAAAGGTAAAAGTACCGAATGTTGAACTGGACCATCCAGCTGTATGACACTTAAGACGAGAGGGCAGGATGACAGGGAACAGTACGCTAYTGTTAGCTTTTTGTTAGCTTGCGGTATCTTGCTACTGTTGTTGTGTCGTTAAACTCGTGATAAAAACGTTACAGTCACTGCTAGGGCTGTGTATTGGCAAGAATTTGGTGATACGTTACATATCATGACAGAGGGGTCATGATACGGTATATCCCGATGTATTGCGATACTATAAGCAAGGCGATATGTCGGGATAAATTGTGATTTTTTTTTTGTCCAAAAATTCTATTAAATAAAAACCTCTTACAGGGGAAAAAAAGGAAAAACCAAAAGTCATTGTCTCAGAAAATTCTAATATTACATAGACATGCTTTTGATACATTTAGCTGTGTTCTGCTTTGTATGTATTTTATTTTATTTGTTTCATATTTCTTATTTCATCCATGTTTTCAATTATTAGACTAAATTTGACAATAAATAGTTTGAAAATATATTTTTTGCAGCTTTTAGTTTTTAATATTAATTTACAATATGGTCACCCAACWCTTAACAATAACCTCGAGAGGTAGAGTAGCCAAATGGCTGGCTCACTGCTGCCAACTAGTGGTCAGAGGCTGAACTACAACATAAAAATGAACGGCTGGCTGGAAAGTTGACTTATAAACCTTAATAAAAAAAATCAATACAGGGCTTTAGAATATCGATACAGTATCAGGAAATGAAATATCATGATATTTCAATGTATTGATATTTTCTTACACCCCTAGTCACTGCAAACAGTTCACATAAAATTACTCTCATCTGCGTGAAGTAAACCCGCCCCTCGGAGAATCAATCAATGAGCTGACATCAAATCTAGTCGAGCAGCTCGGCTCGATTGGTACCACATCCCTCCAGGTTCCAGAAATCGGGGTGGACCTGGGCCATAAGGGCTAATGCAAAAACACAGAACCTAGCCCCAGAGAGTGGGACACAGAGTGAAATGCTGCTGACCTAAAACAACTCRAAACACTAAAACCATCACACTACTATCAGTTTAGCATAGTTATTCTGTCAGAAATATTAAAATTCTTCTGGTCGTGTTCCAAGAGGGCTACAGCAAGCTGCTGCTACTATTTGTGCTTTCAAATAACTTTTATGTTTAGGGTAATTTAATGTCAATAACCATGAAAGGTAATTGATGATGAGGTAAAGCTTGCATGAACTTCTTTGAACTTTTTTGAAAGAGTAACAAACTACTCTTTGCTCAGATTAGCCATCAGTCCATCAATCCGGTCAGAACACAACTATTCTTTAAAACTGGGGTTTGTCAAAGAGACATCCACAACAGGTAAGATATTAATTGTTCATAATTTCCCCACAAATCCCCTAAAGAGCTCAATTTTAATTTTCTTTCCACATAAATATGAAGCAAATGGTATGATTAGCAACACCATTGAGCAAACGTGAAAATCTTTTATCCAGACTGAATCAGAAATGTTCATTCAGTAAAGAAACTAATTCAGGTAGATTGGAAACTGAAAATTAGCAGCTTCCTGCTCATTATAATTGGAATCAGTCTTTTCATATTCCTGGGAAAAGGGCAGAAAATTGAATCAGTGTTATGCACATAGAAATTACTGCCGTTCTCCTCCTTAATTAGATGTCTTTGTCAAAATCCTACAATAGGCAACCATGCTGGCATGCTGCACTGAACATATGGCCACTATCTCTGCACACATCTCCTCCTCTTGGTGCTGTTTCCTTCTAGATTTGTCTCCTGAACTCAGTGTGGCATGTTGTTTTTCCTCCATGCTGTTCTCCCTTCAGACAAATAAAAATAACACATTTTCTTCCTAAAGTCTTCTCAAACACTAATTTCATATGTCTGGGTTTTTTCCCCCCTGTGATATTGCTGTGTGCTTGCACAATCGGATTTTTTAAAAACGTTGGTGCAGCGGGAAGCATCCAGTTCAAAGTGAATTGAAAAATCAGAGGAAAATGTGGCGGACATTATCATGTCATTCCAGATGGTCATTTGGATGGCAACAAATGGTCCGCTGAGCAAGTCCCACAGAGATTAAAATATTAAGCATGCATTTACAAATCTCTCCTGGCACAAAAACAAAAAATGAAATTAAGGAGTTTCTCCATGCGGGAACAATGAGCAGTTGACTAATGGCTCGTTCAGTTACTTAATCACAGCCCAGGTAGCCGGCCGGCCGCGGTGGCTGCTGTATTTGCATGCTAATGCAGTTGCTGGAAGCTGGACGTGCTGGGGGGGAGGGGGGGTCTAAGCCTGTTGGGGACAGAAAAGCTCAAGTTGATCCAATCTTTAAGGCCTCATATGGGGACACAAAATCCTCACACTAAGAAGTTCTGCAGCCCTGACTCATGCTGTGTGGGGGTTTGTTTCTGGTGACATTTGGGGGCAATTTTAAGACAAAAATCCTACCTTTGGGGACAACTGGTGCATTTGGGGACAAAAGTCGAGTCCCCATTTGGTTTAAATGCCATTGGTGGGTTGGGGGTTGGGTTTA